GGGTGATGAAAATATCCTAAAACTGACTGTGGTGATAACGGCACAGATCCATGAAGATGCTCAAAATCCCCGAATGGCACACTTTAAATGGGTGAATTTTGTCGTAGGTGAATGATATCTTTTTTTTTTTTTTTTTTTTTTTTTTTGAGATGAAGTTTCATTCTGTCACCCAGGCTGGAGGGCAAAGGCGAGATCTCAGTTTATTGCAACCTCTGCCTCCCAGGTTCAAACGATTCTCCTGCCTCAGCCTCCCAAGTAGCTGGGATTACAGGCGTGCACCACCACACTTGGCTAATTTTTAAATTTTTAGTAGAGATGGGCTTTCACCATGTTGGCCAGGCTGGTCTCAAACTCCCAACCTCAGGTGATCTGCCTGCCTCGGCCTCCCAAAGTGCTGGGATTACAGGCAGGAGCCATCGTGCCTGGTTTGACAATTACATCTCAATAAAGCTGTTGAAAAGGTTAAAAAAAAAATCACCCAGCCAGGCACAGTGGCTCACACCTGTAATCCCAGCATTTTGGGAGGCTGAGGCAGGTGGATCACCTGAGATCGGGAGTTTGAGACCAGCCTGACCAACATGGAGAAAGCCATGTTTCAATATAGTGAAACCCCATCTCTACTAAAAATACAATAAATTAGCCAGGTGTGGTGGCAGGCGCCTGTAATCTTGGCTACTTGGGAGGCTGAGACAGGAGAATCACTTGAACCTGGGAGGCAGAGGTTGCAGTGAGCTGAGATCACGCCATTGCACTCAGCCTGGGCGACAAGAGGGGAACTCCATCTCAAAATAATAATAATAATAATAATGATAATCACCCATGCAGACCTGCAGGACTCAACGCAGGCCTGGTGCCAGGCCCAGTGGGCAGTGGTGGAGCCCCAGTGGCTTGGGATGGGGAGACCGGGACTCTGAGCTGGCAGCGTGGCTGGTGTCTGCTGGGTGCCACTGCATTCCCGCCGTGTGCTGGGCCCCGGGATCCACTGGTTCCTGTCACCCTCATCTGCCCCTGAGGGTGCGGCCATCTTCTAGAAGGGGAAACTGAGGGTGAGCGCGGGATGTCGGGGGAGCCCAGGCTGGCCCGGGGAGCAGTTGGCGGTGGAGGCCTTGGGCAACTTCCCAAGTGGGGCTGTCCCTGGGCCTGGGCGGGAACGCCCCCAACTGCCGAGGCCCGTGTATAAGGGCGGCCACCGCCTTAGCCACAGAGCTGCTCCGCCATGACCCGGCTGACAGTCCTGGCCCTGCTGGCTGGTCTTCTGGTGTCCTCGAGGGCCGGTGAGTGCCTGTGTGTGCCAAGTGGTCCCCAGTCTGTGCTGGGGGCCCGGCTGCCGGGGCAGAGCTCAGACTCAAGGCACAGAGAAGGCAAGCGGCTTGGCCTGGGTCACACAGCCATCCCGGCCTGGACAGTTCCGGGAAAGGCGTGCGGACGGAGGGTGTGTGGGACTCAGGGCCCACCTGTCCTTTTATGGAGTGGGACGATGGGGGAGGGTGGGTCCTTCTGTAGCCCCACTGTGTGGATGGAGCTGGGGCTGGAGCTTCACACGCCCTCCCGGCCACTGGGTGGGTTCTCTGGGATCTCAGAGCTGCCTCCCCCGACCCAGGCTCCAGCCCCCTCGCGGACATCGTGGGCGGCCGGAAGGCGAGACCCCGCCAGTTCCCATTCCTGGCCTCCATCCAGAATCAAGGGAGGCACTTCTGTGGGGGTGCCCTGATCCATCCCCGCTTCGTGATGAGCGCGGCCAGCTGCTTCCGAAACCAGTGAGGCGGGCCTGGGGAGGGGACCTGGGGGGCACTGGGGCTCAGAGAAGGGGCTTGGGGGGCTTAGGGGATTCAGTGGGGGTGCTTGGTAGGTGAGGAGGGGAGGGGGTTGTAAAAGGAGGGGCTCAGGAAAAGGAGGGGGCTTGGAGAGGGAAATGGGGAATGAGTTGAGGAGGGACCCAAGAATATTGGGGGACTCGGAGGAGGCCCAGAGAAGGGAAGAGGGTCAGATGGAGGAGGCCCAGAGAAGGGAAGGGGCTCAGATGGAGGAGGGCCAGAGAAGGGAAGGGCGTCAGATGGAGGAGGCCCAGAGAAGGGAAGGGGCTCAGATGGAGGAGGCCCAGAGAAGGGAAGGGCTGTCTCTTATACATCAGATGGAGGAGGCCCAGAGAAGGGAAGGGGCTCAGATGGAGGAGGCCCAGAGAAGGGAAGAGGGTCAGATGGAGGAGGTCCAGAGAAGGGAAGGGCGTCAGATGGAGAAGGCCCAGAGAAGGGAAGGGGCTCAGATGGAGGAAGCCCAGAGAAGGGAAGGGGGTCAGATGGAGGAGGCTCAGAGAAGGGAAGGGCGTCAGATGGAGGAGGCTCAGAGAAGGGAAGGGGCTCAGATGGAGGAGGCTCAGAGAAGGGAAGGGGCTCAGATGGAGGAGGCTCAGAGAAGGGAAGGGGGTCAGATGGAGGAGGCCCAGAGAAGGGAAGGGGGTCAGATGGAGGAGGCCCAGAGAAGGGAAGGGGGTCAGATGGAGGAGGCCCAGA